TCTATCTAAAATAGATCTTTGGCTGAGGAGCAGCCGGCAGTGGTGGCAGGCTAGAATGTCACACAAAGGCAACTTGGAAAAGTGCACACCCGGACCAGAAAACCATTTGTTTTTTAAAAGAAGACATATGGAATACTGGATGTGTGGGTAGGAGTGAAAGAGGAACCCAAAAAAAGTAATTCACATGAATAAATGTCCATATATAGAAGAAAAAAATCTTGATCTGATTCCAATTTCAAAGTGTCCTAGGGAGGAATGTAGCATACTTAATAGAGTCAACCCCTCCGCATTCTGGTTAGAATGTTAGGTGCCGTATCAGGTGGCCTTGTGGAGGTGTCAGAAGAATCACCTAACCTGTTGTTTCAGCCATAGTCCTCTGCACACACGAGGTCCATAGGAAATGTTGCTTCATTTGCTAGCCACTCATTTAAAGTCAGATCTCTGGGAAGGAGGGAGAGAGAGGAAGCCCAGATGAAGTCTTTTGGCAATGCAGATTTTATTGACTGAGTCTTTGGGGGGCCAAAGACAGGTGCCTGACAAACTTCACATTAAACTCTTTAAATTTCTAAATTTAGCTGAGGACATGCATAAAATGACAGTGCAGTTCACATACCTAAGAGAGAAGATCTTACTTCTTAAAGTAGATGTTTTGATTTGGCCACACTGAGGTGAATGAATGCTTAGCTTAAAAAGTAGACACAAAGCCTTCATTCAACAATCTCAAAGGAGAAGTAATCCCAGCAAGTCCTTTAAGCACAGGCACCTTCTGTGGTAGAGTCGCTTTTTGAGGCTAAGGATTAGCAAAGGAAGGCTCACATGCCCAATTTAGACGCGAAACGAAGTGGCAGCAGCACACATCAGAAGTGAGACCCCTTCAGAGCAGTTCCTTTTTGCTCCAGGAATCCTCTTAGAGCAAAGGATTTCTTGAGTCATCCCCCCAGCCATAAAGACCGTATAGCAATTCTCAGTGAAGAAAAATGTATAAAAAGGGAAAACTAAAAGTAGCTTAAGGGGGAGGGAGCCATCACTGAAGAATTCAACGATTGAAGAGATTAAATTTCAGCAATATGTAAGTGTTGGGACTAAGGCGAGAGAAGAAGGGTACCGGAAAGGGAGCGGGAAGAGTCACGGAATCACACTGTCTGGCTACCAGAACGACCTACTTTGTAGGCCAAAAGCTGCACTCCTTGACCTTCCAAGCACCCCGAGGCCATGGCCAAAGCTGCAGCTGGTGGTGCGCTGACCCCACAGTGACTTCAGTCCTGGAGTCAACACAGCTGAGATGCTCTGCTCCCTGGGACACGATACATAAAGCACACACTGTATCATGCATCTTCCCCCAAAGACTTCTATCACATATTTGTCAGTCTTGGATCTCAGTGGCCTTATCTCAGCAGCTTCTTTTTTCCTGTGCTAAGATCTCTTCTGTAGGAAGAGCTTTAAAAATAAAAATTTTTTTTAAAGTAGAACAGAAACACGTATCCACTTTTTTCTTAATGTCTTCAAAATGCAGATTATCTAGTTTCCTGTGAGCTCATATGTCACTTTCTCCTGACAGCCTTTGATTTCCATCCCAGGCTCATCTGTATTGCATTTCAACAGACTGGCCCCAGCCCCTGCCGGATTAGACACCTCCAGAAAACCACCTTGCTGGTGCTCGCACACAGTAGGCCTCCAGTGCAGATTTGCTGGATGGGTTGTTGTTAGGAGCATGACATAAGCAACTTGATGGACATAAGAACTCCTTTGGAGTCAAAGCAAATGAGATGAAATAATCTTCCATGGGCTTTGGGACAGAGTAATCGAATGAAGCACTGCTTGTAGGCAATTTTATCCTAACAACAGTTTTGATTTTGATTGACATACAATACAGGTTTCAATGCAGGTGAGGCTAGCATCAGTGTGTTCAATACTTCATATTCTATTTATAAAAAGGATTTAGATATTCAAGGATTCCTGTGCAGAATATTGCTTTTAAATTATTTTTAATACACTGCCAAATGTCCAAGCCAAGATACATAGCATGGGAAAAGTGAAAATTTTATATCTTATAATACAACATCTAAATTTTTCCAATATTTACCTCCAGGATATATCTTGACTTGGAGGAAATTTTTTTTATTGTATCAATACTGCTTTTCTATTATTTTAATAAATGCTTCCAATTATATGGCTAATCATTACCTATTGTATCTATTATTATATTGTTTGTACAAAATTTTCAGTGCTTTCATGATTATTTCTGGAGGATATAAATAACTTTTATCTGTTTGTCCTTTCATAAGCACCATGGTTATTGATGATGCCAATAGAAAAGATCACGAAAAAATAATCATTATACTTGAGCATACTTCTTGGACATATTTTCATGCTGGTTTTAAAACCATTTTGACTTCTAAACAGAAAACATCCATGACCTATTTGTATGAACTTTCCCTTTTCCTCTTTCATCCTTCTTCTTCCTCAAGAGACTTCCATTCCTAACATTTTTTTCTTCTGACTCTTCAATATATAACCCTGTACCAAAATGACCTTTTGCAAAATTCCCTAGGGCAAGGAATCTCCTAGAGGGGTGGGTCAAACTATCATTTTATCTCTTTCAGAAAGGGATTTCATTTTATGCTCTAATTTCTGGCCTAGTGACCTAGGATTTCAGACTTTTAAAATCTTTGGCAACTTGTCTTCTGGAAGTCATGTAAAATTTTGTCTTTACCCTATCAATAAATTTTCTCTTGCAAGTCTAAGGAAGAAAGAAAAATGCAGTGGGAACAGGGTTGGAGGGAAAAGGGGAAAAGTTTAACCACTTCGGGCCCAGTGTCGACTGTAGTCAACAGCCACAGATGAATGCGCACAGCCGAGTGTCAACTATAGTCGATAGCCACAGACAAACGCACACGGCGACTTTAGCCGACAGCCATGATACTACTTTTCTAATTTTTCATTTATCAAAATAAAATTGTGAACATTTAAAAATAATGTAATGAAAACATATATGTATATGTTACCTATTCTGATTTACATTACAAGTAAAGCTGCCTGTAAAGTACAACAAGCTTTCAGTGCTTTAAGCTTTCCTCATCACACAAGAGCAAAACGGATTCGTTGTCAATGCACAGCACAAACTGTCGTGCGGACTATGAGTGCCGGCTGTGGGCAAGTTTCATGGCTGGTGAGCACGGTCCCGAATTGGTTAAGGACATACTGTTAACACATACACAAAATTGTAAGTTTTAGCCTTTGGGCCTTTTTAAGTGATCAAGTCTGGGGAAAAAAAAAATCAAAGACATCCCACCCTCCCCTGAAAAAAGACATCCTAAGAAACAACTTTCTTTGATCAAGTTAAGTTTAAAGTCTTTCTGGAAACTGGTTCAAAAAAAAGTAAATATAGAGATAACCTTCACTTTAGCACTTCTATTCTTTGCATTCTTGGGTCCTTTATGCTTTGGACAACAAACATTTTTGGACTAGTGAGGAGGCAGTACATGTAAAAATGAAAATTTGTGCATGCCAGAAGATCCACTTTTAAAGGCTTTATCTGATCATTTTCACAGATGAAATCTTTCTGGGATGTGCATACCTTCCGAGGAGAGGGTATGAGATAGGGGAAAATGGATGGGATACAGATGAAACAGGAGTCAAGAAAATGTTGGTATTTGTTGAAGCTGAATGATGGGTACATGGGGTTCAAAATACTAACCTCTCTACTTTTGCATATACTGTACTTAAAAATTTCCATAATTTTAAAACGATAAGATTTATGATAAATTATGACTGATAATCTTCTTCAGTCTTCCTTCTAGTATGGATGGAGTCAGTAGTTTTTGTCCCCTTACTGTTGATAAGAACCACTTTATTTTTCCTTGCAAGAGGTTTCATGTTCTATTGAAAAGGAGAGATGCAACTGTTATCATATGTAGGACCATAAAATCACACATATTTATATTCTTGTCACTTTTTTTCTAACAGAATTTTAATCTTTGGTATGGAGCCCTCTTCCCCCGCCACACACACACACATTTTATTCTCAGGAATAGAAAGGAGGTGTGTTCGAGTATCTTGTATAATTCATTAGGCAGACTAACTTTACAGAAAAATCTTCTATAGTGCTACGTATAAAAGTACGAGTTAACTGATGTGAATTTAACCTATTCTAAATTTTCCACACCATCAAATCTCCTGAAACAGCTTATCTCTAAAGTGTCAGGCCCTTACAAGTTTACTTTGAAGAAGAACAGTTATACTCAGAATCTCTTGAATATATTTAATTTAGAGAAACGTGATCTTAGAGTTGGAATAAAAATAATACAATCAATAATTACCGTTTTAGGAGCATTTACACTACAGGCCCCAATGACAATGTTTTCATACTCTCTTTTCAGCCTCACAGCAATTGTACAAGAAGGTGCCATCACCATGGTCATTTAGATCAGTCTGGCTCAGGAAGGTTAAAAAATCCGATGGCAATGGGTGGAGCCAGAACTTGAAGCCAAGTCTGCCTGAATGCAAAGCCCATTCATTTGTTGATAGTTACACTGTGTTTGTGTGTAGTTTCCAAAGGATTAAAACAAAAAACATATCTAACATATAGGAATATTGGACTTGGCAAATCCAAGGTTGGAGTTTCCCAGGTAATGGTCTTAATGACATCACTTCCACAGTTTCTAGTTCAAGGAAAAGATGGTGTGTTCAGATCACTCTTCACAGGGAGGTGCCCCAAAGACTGTGGTCGCAAGTGGCATCCTGAAGCATGTGGTCTTTCTTCTGTTGGGCTGATCATTACTCTACAATTTCGGGAAAAAGCAGCCAAGGCTGCTCACATAATGGTGAATCACAGGCACACACAGTTTGGGGGAGACATAATTCAATGTTTTGAAATAGTTGAACTATCTTACTTTTATTGAAGTATTTTTCCTAGTTTTTTTAGTGGATATGGTACATTAAAGGCACATCTTCTATGGCCAGTAGTGTGTGAACATAAAGAAATATATTTGAATAATATCTTTAAAATATTTCAAAGTTTTATTAAATATTTTTATTCAGTTTTAAGATCACAGTTAAAGTACTTTAGCATGTTATACACATGACTTACATGTGCAATTTTTAGAAATATCAAATTAGGTATAAGATTTGCAGAAAGAAATTATATAAATGTGTATATTGACTTTTACTACACATACATCTAAGAAAGCAATAATTCTGTTGTACCATTAAGTGGAAATCATTTATTACATGGCATGTTTACACCAACTCTAAAGAGAACCAAGCCAATTTCTGAAAGCAAAAAAATGAGCGATTCAGTCATGCTGAAACTGTCAACAGACTCAAGACCTGGTGGTCAAATGAAGCTATGGTTAATTTATGACATGGAAGTAAGCAATTCAAACCTATGAGAAAAGTTCATAATCTGGTATGTGGAATCTCAGGTGGTTTTATTCTTTTCCTTGACAAATTCCTGAGAGCAAGAGACTTGTTTAGTGCTAATGAAATGAAAAAAATGTTGCTGAGCAAGTCGCTGAGCTCCAGATGGCACACCTTCCCTACCCCAGTTCTGCCGCTCTTAGAGCCGAGGCACTAATGTGAGGTGTTGGGGACACAAGCCCACCCCTGTGGTGGGCCGCAAAGCGAAATCAGTGTTCATTCAAGAAACACGTGTGTCTCTGTAATTTAGGTTAGAGCTTGTGAGGTAAGATTTGCATTGCGTGTGGAAGGGTTTGGAGGCATGGAATTAGATCCTTGTTACTCAGGAACCAGTTTCTGGCCCAAGTTATCAGGAAATCTTTGGAAGGAGTAGTAATTTTCACAATAACTAGTTCTGTGCGTAAAAATCAACTGGAGGGCAGGATCAGTTTTGACCACTGACTGCAAAAAGAACACAATGGCCATAGAACTTTTAACTTCAAGGTTTCCTCTCTCAATTTTATAGTATAAATCATACTATCACAGATTAAATTTGGCAAGAGGAAACTTTTTTAAAAAATGTAGAAGAAAAGGGTAGCACATACAGATAGGGATATTGTGAGGGAGTCAAATATATTTGTCTTTTTATTCACTCTTTTGTTGCTTCTTTGTTCTGAAGTGTAAGGAAGATAGTGTCCCCAGTGAAAAGAACAAAGTCATTTAATACGGAGTATAATAAACTTAGCTATCACTTCCAAACTAAAGCAAAGCAGTTCATCAAACCCTGAATACTTCACCAGACACATCTGGCAAGATGAACTGAACAACTGCTTCTTTTTTTTATTATAAGTATGCTGTTAGTCAATCTAAGTAAGATAATTTTTAAAACTCCCAAAATTCAAATAAAACAAATCCAAATCTAATTCTTTGGGAATGCTTGTCTAAACAACAGCAATATCTAATTTAACCATTAGTACACTTTTTGTAAGGTGCAAAACAAGGACCTATTTGGGGAAAGCTAAATTTTAATTTCTACCTAGCAGTCATTCTGAATACTTTATAGGTCAAATTGAATGATAGCATTTGCTTCTACTGCCCATTTTCAGCAATACATTGTTCTCTCTGGAGAAGGCGATTTGTGAAGTCAAAAACACTGCAGTGGAAAATAGTGGCACCGAAGGTAGAAGCAAAAAAAGACAAACTTTTATAACAGGACTTACTGAAATCAACTTTTAAAGCCGAGGTAGCCCATGAAGATTGGCCTTACACGAGGGCTCTGTGGAGCAGTGCAAGCAAAGGGGAATCTCCTCAACAGCATCACACACACCCCAACGTGCCCGTTACGAATGACGACTCCGGGCCTCCCAAGATTCCCTTCCTCTTCTCCGATGAGGCGGCGGTTGCTTCTCCTTGTCACTTGGATGCTGTCCTCCAGCCTCCAGCTGCTGGTCTTCAGAACATTTACAATTCATACAGTAGTTTAGCAGGCAGCATGGTCCCACTGCTTCACATTAATGCCAAATGCCAAACTTGGAACAGAGCTATTTGGTATTCCCCACCCCACCCCACCCTATAAACAAGACATGCCATTCAGTTTTCAGCTTACTCCTGTTCTGTATCAATTTATAAGTAGCTTGAGATTTTACATAGGTGCAAACACTTCCATACATTGAGCCAAAGACTGCAGAGTACAAACAAAATTTTATATGACTTAGAGCAGCATCTGACTTAAGAAAACGACAGGAATTGAACATGTTGGATTCTAAGTACCCAGAGCAGTTCAGATGCTCCTTTTTGTTCATAGTGTTTCATCACTACTTTTTTCTTTCTCCAGCAATTTTCATGGCAGGAACCAGAGTAACAATGATAACGTGGGAATTATTCAGCATGGCTAAGTATTGGGACACGGCATTGGTAGAAAGCTCATCTGACAGAATTAAATAAATATATTTCTGATATTTGTGGGAAAAAGATTGTTGGAATTACAACGGTATGATCTATCTTTTAAAAAGGGTTGTAATGATTTAACAATTTTGATCTAAAATCTGAGAACTAACCCAATTTGGGGACAAGAACCTGTATTTCCAATGTGGCTATGGGACATTTTTCTTTTTCCCGATCTCACATACAGTACCCAAACAATTAAAAACTTAAAGGATGTTTTACAGTATTTTTTTCTTTCACTCAGCTTCTTAGAGCTGCAGCTTCAGTTACTATAATATACTCTACACACTTCAAAATTACATAGGAAATACCCAGAGTAACTAAATAAATAAAAGGCTAAAGAAAACTGGAACAGTACTACGTCTCCATCTGAGACGAAATCTCCTATTTCCAGCATCGCAGAGAAGGGCTAGGACAATTTTTTTTCAACAGATTTATATACAGGTTTGAATCCAGAAATTAAGGTTAAAAGTATAAATATTGATAATTTCAACTAAATTCAGAATGGTTTCAGAAAGATATGATACAACAATTTAGAATAAAACAAAGCAGAAGAGCATCATATTTTGGTTTGCTTGAGATTTACATAAGGTGCAACAATTTTTTCTCTCGAGGATGCTGCGGGACAAATGTTAGTGTAGATGGAATTGCTGGCAGATTAAAGTACACACCATAGCAATATGATTTTCCAAAATAAAAAAGAATGAGAGAAATGAAATGAAAATGGAATCGGGGGTTGAGGGGAGAGCACTACAATATTGGTCTGAAATATTTGTGCTAACAGATGTTGTTACCTGAAAATACCAACACTCCTCTCCAGCAGATCCAGGGCATGAGAAGCACTATCACCGAAATCAAGACTTCACTCAGAGAGACGACAAGGTGAGTGTCTAAGGAACTATAAAGCTTTGCAGGATTTCTGCTACTCTCAGTGCCTAACCGCTTAAAAATTAAGCATTTCTACAAAAAGGTTTGTTTTTAAAGTATCTGAAAACAGTCATATCCAGTAGGTTGCCCTCCCGCCCCTACCCCTGCCTAAGGGAAAAGCCACTGAGGTTTAGGAAAAGCAGATCAAGTAAGATATTAATCACATAGAAAAAAAGTAATCTTTTGTTTTGCTTCTTTTTTAAAAAAGATCCCATGAATATACAGCAATCTCTTAAAGGACTCTAGTGAAATGTAATCGGAGGACTGAAGGAGGGTGCTCTGGCAAAAATAGATCTATTCTAACGTGTTCTATAGAATAACAAGTTAGTACCATTGTCAAGGTGCATGTTCTGCACCATACAATTTTTGTTGTTGGTTTTTTGTTTTTGGATTTTAGCTAATTATAATTTTCAAATCACTGCTACCAAGTGGTCCAAAACTCCAACAGCCACCAACATCGGGACCCAGCAATTCTCAAACATTCATTTTTTGTATTGAAATTTAGAAAATATTAATAAAACAGCATCATAGTAAAAATATTACGCTAAAATCTGGAACTGCTCACTTGATTTATTCCTATTTGAATGGGGTTAAGCTATAACCTCTGATTAACCTTTTACTAATTCCTTCTTCCTCCATCCCCACAGTGAATATGCGTATTCGAGGACACCATGCCAGTGCTCTGCTGCCCTCTTTATCTGCTTTAAAAAGAAAACAAACCTCTATATTTTTTCTATCCTGTTAGTATGTTGTACATATTGTCCAGCACCGAAACTGAAGTAATATCTACAACCATGAGGAGCTAAACCTAGTCAGTATTAATAGAGTCATGTTTTGTATGGCTATTAGGTCAAATTACAATTAGAAAAAAAAGCATCATTACAATTCAGTCAAGTATAAATAAGAAAGCTAGATAAAACCATGTAAACTGTCACCATTTAGAGATCTAATTCAAAAGCTTCAAACTTGAACTAGCACTATCAAAATTCCGCCAGTTTGAAAACCATTAAAAATTATTGCTGGAATCCAATAATTAAAATTTGGTAGTTTGTGCTGCGATGCAAAAGTGGGGAAATACTTTGTGCTATAGAACAAATACCCTGTGAAATATGTAGCCTCAGACTAATTTTGATTTATCCCTTTGCATCTGTTGCTAGGAAACAAGACACTGTGAACGTCAGGTGGTTAAGTCAATATGTTGAATGTTCTAAGCCAGTTAATCCACTTGGCACTGGCATATGTATGGTTGGTTTTATGTTCAAAAGCAACAAAATACAAAAAGGAAACAGAAACTTGCAGGTGGGTCTATGACTGAGAGTCCCACTCTGGTCAGGCATACCTCCCTCATCACTGCCTCAGTACCTCCTAAACAGCACAAACTCGAAATGGCTCTAACACCTGCAGTGCCAGTTAGGCTGTGCATAGCAATTGCAACCCGTCCAGTCTGTCTGTGATGGATATAAAAGGTCTGTAGCTCCAAATCCACATGAAGTGAGTGTCTTCAATGTGTTTAGAATAGTGAAGTAATACTAAGGTCACTTCTGAATAATATTTTTGTCTTTTTTTTTGTTTGTTTGTTTGTATGAACAATCCATTGGTCACTTAGACCCCTGTGTAAAAATAAAAGAATCCTCAAGGCATGAAAACATCAGTAATCTGTAATCTGTAGGACTCTTCCCCTGTCTGGGAAAATATTTGCCACAATTTGCCCCAAGCAAATTCTTCTTGGTCACTCAAGGCTAAGAAAAAAATTCAGATTGTAAGAGTTGTAATGTTTCTCTCTCTCTCTCTCTCTTTTTTTTTTTTTTTGCCAGCAAACTACCACTCTGGTGGCAAATATAAAAGTGCAGAATATATGGACCACGAGGCCGAGCATACACCGCTAACAATGGTACATCTGCCTGCCCATGCTGCTTGGGAGTCTTCTGGAACAGGCTTTTTAATATTTATTCTACAATATAAATGTAGGTATAACCTATTATATAAACCATCTTAGAACTTAAATCTCCATGTACAAAAAAGACTAAGAATATCTAATAATAACTAGTGCAGTGCGTCAGTTTTTGTTTTTTTTTTTGTTTTTTGTTTTCTTTTGAAAGAATAACTAGGTAATATATGAAACTAGTTTCACACTCTCTGGTTGGTAAAAGAGATGCTGGATGAGCTACAGTAAAGGCAGCCTTTTACCAAGTTACCACCTGTTACCGTCAAAAGCCTTCAATAGAAAGCAAAGCTCCAAAATCATTCTGTTTCTGCTCAATATCATCAGACAGATCACATCACCCTCAAAGATTCTGGGTTCCAAAAGAACAAACTGGCCCAGGATGCTAACTTCTGCTTCAAGTGAATCTGGGCCGAGTAGGGCAACAAGCACTTGTTTGCAGTCTCTATTTCCCACCACATGGCCTCACTAGCATCCCTTGGTAAAGACAAGGCTAGGGTAGTAGGTAAAGCACAATGTTTTACAAGTAAAGGGCGCTTCACTGGTCAGCGCAGGAAATAAGTACAGGAGCCTGTGGCATTTCTTTTGGCTGTCCGTCATGGGTGAGCGGAGTTGACCTCTGACCTCTGTAAAACAAGAGGAAGGAAAAAAAATCACTTATTCAGAGTATGTTATTAGAGACAGGAGAGGATGAGGAATAAGAAATAAAAGCTTTGCAGTATCTTGTGTAACATCTATTGCTGACTTGTTACTTATACCATCTAATAAAAACTGTTAGAGTTTCTTTTTTGTTTTTCCCCTACTTCTTTTTCCTTCCTCCTTTCCATCCTCCCTTCCATCCTGAGATTCCCCTCATACAACCCAACAGTATACCTCCTGGCCCCCCCAAATAACCACTTCCATTTATAGAGATGAAGCCTGAAGTAACAACAGATTTGGGGCATCACCCTAAGAAGTGGAAAACTTTCAATCAAGGACTGAGGTGCTGGGACAACAATCTTCCTCTTGATCCACTGATACTAAAAATGACATGCTCCTTTCCTTGACTTGCCTGAAGCAGAAACTCTCCTATAATAATTGGTATCTCCAGGCTCATTTCTTAATATACATAATATATTTAAAACTCAAGGCCAATAAAAGCAATGATTCCTGAAGAGAAAGGGGTGTAACTCAAAAAAAAAAAAAAGAATGAAAAATAAACAATGTATGAAGAAACTGTAAAATGCTCCCAACTAAAGAAAAGTCCACGTGTACATGGACAGAGAGTGTATATAGCAAGAAAGCAAGTACTGACTCTGGATTTTAGATTGTAAGAAAATCCAGCCTACTTGGGCCAAAATCAACACACGGAGGGAAAACTCCAGACAGGACTAGAAAATTCAAGGAAATTTCCATCATTTGGATTGGAACTATGCCAAACATAACTGATTTTTCATTCAGCTTTTGTATAATTTGTAGTAAAAAATAAAATTTACTCCATGGTTATGAGAAAACTGTCCAAAACTCTTGGTAATCTCTACAGAGCTTCTCATTCTAAAAAATAGGACTGGGTATTTCCTTGACATATGCCAACAAGTCTACCAAGCCTAGTCACCTAGACAATGCACACTCACTGCTCTGTCCCCTACAATGGAATGAAACACATAACACTGTACTGCAAATATGTGAAGTATTAGCAATGTTTTCACTGGCTGACCTTTCAATATAGTATCTTCTTCTGAGTATGTAGAACAAAAGGAGTTATTGTAAGATTCAGATTATATCTGGGGAGAATCAGTGCAAATGTTATACTCAAGTTCCTCTTGATGCACAATAAAGAAAAATAATGTAGACAAATTACAACAGTTGGAAGTTTCAGAGTCTGGTGATCACTTAATAGCCCAAGATATTTAGGATTAAAAAAAAGTATTAGAATTGAACTTCTGGATTAACCTGTTTATTCATGTGTGTATGCTATAAGCACCTTGTTTGATATGTTTGCTCTTTTTAAAATAAAGATGAAATTAAAATGATATTTTTACCTTTAAGATTGAATATCTATTAGTATTAAAAGATCCAAAAGAATTTTAATTAGTATTGGAAAAGAAAAAAAAAAGTGAAAGTACAATGTAAATGATGAAAAGTACAGTGTAAAAAAAAAAATAGAAAGCAGGAGGGAGAGAGAGTGAAACTGGGATAAAAGTCCAGCTCAATCAATGAAAAAGGAAAGGAGTTAGGATCACTATGGGAGAGAACTGACTATGTGCTGCAACTAGGTGATGGTTCTAGCTCCCAGTGGAAGGGTCAGAGGAGAATCTTCAAGATTTTCTATGATCTTGACCTACACTTTCTTAGGCAGCATGCTTGAGCAAAGAGCGAGACCCTGGAGTTCAAATCTTGGCTCTGGCACAAAATAGCTGTGTGCTTTGGAGCCTTGGAGTTAATTAACCGTCTGTACCATCATTAAAATGGGACTAAAAAGACCCACCTGGGATGGCTAATTTAAGGATTAAGTTTAATGAGTTCTCCTCCTTAAAAACTCCTAGTAAATAAACAGGCTCTTAACAAAGGTTTGTTCCAATTCTATTTTATGCATTTTGTAAAACTGTCTTTCTATGTTGGATTTCTTGACCTAATGTTAGATTTTTCATGGCAAGAGTGCAGGCAATGTATTTCTATCCCTAACTCCATGGGCCACCCTCTAAACTATGAACCTAGATGATGCCTAAGCAATAATTAATTGGTGTGCAACCCAGGTACAATTACATTAAGCCCACAGGTAGAGGGCTGGCTGGTAGATCTGCTTTACGAGGTAAGGGCTAAGATTACAACTAAGACTCCCCATTGTGATCTGTCTTTCTATGTATTAGGAACACTAACCATGTGTTAGGTAGATGGTAAAATTCCAGTAATCAATGTTGTTCTTTCTAATGGGAGGTTAAAAAAATAACTTTTACTTACATTATTTTTCTATGCCTGCTATCTAACTTAGGCAGCCATACTTCAAGAACAACCTCATTTATTCATTCACCCATTAATGTAACAGGTACTATTTAAGCAAGTTGGGGACATGAAGAATAAAACCAGTGTTTTGCTTTCAAAGTATACTGGAAAAAGACAGAAACATTAGCAAATAATTACAGGCTAATGTGAGAGCTGGTGTAAGAGAGGTATGCACATAGAATGTGAGGGCAACATGGAACGTGCTGCCTGGGTCTCAGGACTGAGCGCAAAGGACCAGGGCCTAGGGCTGGAGGTAGGAGCAGCCATTCACAGGAGAGGAACAAAGGCACAAAGGCAAGAACTGGGCTCATCTGGAAAGGAGCAAGTGATTCCATGCAACTATAGAGCAGCGAGTGTGGAGGGCAGGGAAAGGTGAGAGAGGGGAAGTTTGCCGTGGCTCTCTGTGGCTGCACACTGGGTCATGGGAGGCTGGTGGGTTAACAGAGCAACAGTGTGACCACAGCCATGTTCAGAAAAGAAAGCAGGCAGCAGCAGTGAAGGAGACTGTGTGGTAGCCTTTTCTGAACCCTGAAGTATGATCCCCCTCTGAATTCTTACATCACCTCTTATTTCCACAATTCACAGGAACACTTAGTAACATTCAGGCAGATATCTGCATGTGTGTGTGCATTTGTTCTACACCTGACTATAAAACTCCTTGAGTGGAGAAGTCTCTGTGCATTATCTCCCTCAGAGACTTCAGTGGATTTTAACAACGTCAGTCACCATTCACTTTGCTATTAGGAACTTGTAGTGTACATATGAAAAGGAATTTGACTTCTTGGAAATATCTAGAGGCTGCTTGTGAGGAAGCACAAGAGCTTTAATGTGGCAGGTAAGAGCAAACCAAGCTCACATGGGGCCTCCAGGTTTACCGGATGTGGAAAAGGAGCTAGGGCCTCCAGGTGTCTATCCAAGTTGTGCTAGGTGTCAAGCTCTTTTGTACCGAAGATTGAAAGTCTAAGAAAGTAACTCATCCATAGGTAATCCACTTTGAATAAAAATATAAAATACCTGAATTTACAAAAAGGCTTTTTTTGCCTTCCCGAAGGATCCATTAAGTAGCAGAATACCCAATTATACACTTAGAACTTAATATGCTTTCTGTGGGGCTTTGTCGAGTTCAAAGGGTTTTCACATCTATGATCTCCTCTGATCCTTACAACTTTGTAATTCTTTGGGGATATCATTATGCTCAATGTAAGATGAGAAAACTAAGGTCCAGAGAAATAAATTACTTTGTAGCAAATCACAGAGAGCTGAAGAAAAATCCAGGCCTTTCTGCCTACCATGAGTCAGATACCAAAATGCTCTTTCCCCTGAACCACCTGTCTTCTGACAGCTGGGACTACCACTGCCACCAACACCATCCTCACATGCCAGCACTGGGATCCTCTATTCATCCCATTGAACACCTCTGAATGATTGCCACCTACCCTCGTTTTACAGAGGAAAAAACCCAGGGCAGAGAGTTCTTGCTCAAGATCTTTCATTTTGCAGGTGATGGATTTAGGACTTAAACTCCAGTCTGTGATATGACTCCAGAGCTCATGCTTAATGGTTAGATAACACTGCCTCCCTGCTCTCAGGCTTTTTATGGAAATGAAGTTTAGCCACAGGATAATATATTCAACATAAAGTACTTGGCTGGCTATATTCCCTTATATTTTCTCACACTGCTAATTAGCATACATGCTTTTGTATATAAAACCCATATAAATAATAAGGCTCTTGAACCAAGTATGAACCCCAATGCATTGTGAAAAATGTCGCAAATCATGTCAAAAAGGTCAATTTGCATTCCGCATTGCTCTCTGTCGATGTTCCACCACTAACCTGTGCACATTCTCCATGGCTGCCACTTCAGCCAGCGCAGCGAGGCTAAAGAAGGCAGACACGGCAGGCATTTCAGGAGTACTGCTCCGCATCTCCTCCACCTCCGTGTTGTGGGAGCATTCGTCATTGCAGTCTGCCTCGGCTGCTTTAGGGAGACTCCTCTGCAGTTGTTCCTTTGGTTTGTCATCTGTAACACAAGAGAAATCCATCATGAGAAGATCACTTTGTTCTCTCCAGAGAAGAGACTCTGAGAAAACATTGTGCCAGACAATGTGAAAAGTGCTAACTTTCTCTACTGTTCGCTTCTGCTATCCGTTGAATATTAAGGCTTTTACAGGATCTCTTCTCCCACGGTAACAAAGCTCTTTTATTAAGCTCAATTGCAACTATGGACAGTACTATGCCCTGAAGTTGAGCTGCAAAGAAACTGTGTTATATCCAAGGTCAAAGAATGGGTCAATCTTGGAGTGGGATGGAAAATTGAGCACTGGCCAAAATACAATGCGAGGGACTTCTGCAGAGGACCTGCAGACACTGTAAAAGGGCCCTTAAAAACCCAAATGACTAAACATTTCTCATGAATCCATAGCATGCCCTACCATATATGGCAACTTAGACACTGGGTATGCTGTGACACTAACACTCAGGTTGGCCCAAACATCAGATTCATCAATACTAATGAGATCCCAAGTTGTTATTTTGCTCTGAAGACCTACTGGAAAGAAGACAAAAGGCTCTCTAGTATTTATAAAGACGTGGATGAAATGCTATGCAAACATACCTTTCTTTATCACATAGCCGTTATAAAGGAGGAGAAATTTTTTACAATGGGCTAAAAAATTTTAAATATGGAAAGCAATTAATAAAAGCTATAAATGTTATACATTAGAATATGAAAGTTGTATGGTACTTTTCTACATAAAAGGGAGTATTTTCTCAAATCTTTCACTCTTCCTACAAGTGAAAATGAAATGAGGCTACAACAGTCTACAAAATGAAAGTTGCAGAACAGAACCCAGATTGGAAAGGGAAGGAGGGAGGGGCCCTGCTGGACTAAACATGAGGACATCTGGATTTTGGCCCTCATGCTACTTCCACTTCATTGAACATACTTAGAAGAAAAAAAGTTTCACCTTTTTGTGTTTCAGCTCTTACATGACAGGGTAAAATTCAAGGTCTTTAATATGCTCTATAGTTCTAACAATCTAAGTATGCAAAACACAAGGAAAAATGCACAAAATTCCCTAATTGTCCTCTAATTCTAACTCAGCAATCAATTCATCTCTATTAACTCAAATCATAAAAAATGAAATATTCAGGTACAGAAAAACAACAGCTAAGACCACTAATGCCTAGCTGGTATGGCACCCCAAGATTCTGGAGTGGTTCTCAGTACCACTCACTGGCCCTTCAGGTAATTCCACTGTCACGGAGGCCATCAAGAACAGCAAACAGACCACAGGCCATGACTGAGAATGGGGAATATTGGTTGGTTGGATTAGACCAGAGAACTCAAGAAATCTAGAAGCATTCTCAAACTCTCTTAGTGGTCTGAATCAGCTTTATATGAAATGCCAGATGCATTCTAAGGTTTGAATACCTGATAATCTGGCTTCTAGTAACATGAACAGCAGACTATGGAGAAAATGGATTCAACTAGTACCTTTAAAAGTCTAGGCTCTCCTGGGATTGACTTAATCAAGACTTTTGTGCATGTTAAGAAAGAGAAGGGGAAGCTGACAGTCCTAAAAACTACTTTTCCTTTATAGGAATTCAGATATGCTCTTGGAAAAACAGCTGTGATTTTAAAACTCAGAATTTTAAAACACATTTGGGGGCCTGCAGAAAACTGCAGAACAGATCCATTTTCAATGAGGAATCACTGTTGGCTGATAGTTACTCACTGGCCACCGAGGCCATGATGGTCACCTGCTTGCTCTGGTTATCTCTGTCTAGAGCTCCCTCTTCTTACCCAACGTGCCTCCTGCTGGTGATACCCGGCCATCTGCTGTCCTGACAAGGTGTGTGATCTTGGTTTTCCTTGCTTTTCTCTTTTGGCTGCCCACCAAAGGTTCTTGTGTCGTTGTTGGCTCTGGAGTGTTGGGAATGGATGGGGTATTTTTAACCTTATGAGCAGGCTCTGTGGTGTTTTTGTCTTCTGAAAATATGGCTGAAACAGGACAAACCATATATAGTTACACACAAAAACACAAGGCACCAACACTGCTCTAAGAAGGAAACATTTCTACATGTCTGACTCATCTGAATGGAGAATTTCCATTCAGAGTTTCCAAAGTATTGATGGAAGAAAGAAATAAAACACTGCCTAAGATTTGTTTACTACTGATTGATATTTACTTTGATAAATTAAGTGCAGAGGATTAAGATACCTTTTCTCTTTCTTTTTACATTTTCTAAGTCTTTGGATTTTATAGGTTGGTGGGGGAGGATAATGTATGCCAAGCTGAGTAAATTACATGCCAAGAAACCACATGTCTCAGTTGTTACCAGAGCCCCTATCTCAGATCCTTTTGGCCAGTTGGTCTGGAGAGGATAGTAAAAGAAGTTTCTTTTCTTCTCCGGACATCAAGATTAAATATGTGCTTCTTAAATTTATGTTTGTGGTTGCTTTCAAAAGCATCAGCTTGGGTTGCTCAGAAAAGAATTGTGAGGCCTGACCTTCTTTTATGTGCACTGACTGCTCAGTAAGGATAGGACAAACACTGGTGAAGCCAGGATGCAAATGAAAGAAACTCTCATTCACTGAATTCTAGGACAAGGTGAATGTGCTTAGTGAAATAATTTATTGAAGTCTCACATATCAGCAGGATTCATGGAGAGCCTAGTTTTAGGTATCCTAATTGTAACACTAATAAATCATTTAACAGCACATTCTTGTACCGTGAGTCACTGGGTCAAGAGTAAGGAAGACACTTGTCACCAAACACTATACTCTTGGTTTAAACGGATTGGGAATGCTTGTATCTTTTCTTATTTACTCATTTACTTAGAAGTTCACCACTCCCCCTCATAATTTAAAAGTAAGAAAAGAACATGTAGACATGAGGTTAGAAAACATTTAGGGGCATATACATGTAGTCAAGTTTCATGATTGGGAGTTTTTTTAAATTCCAGTGACCTAAGGGCTTATACTCAGGGAAAAGAAGATTAAAAAAAAAAAAAATTAAAACTATCCAGTCTCTTAGGATAGGCACAGAAATCATTTTTGACAAACAAGAGGTAAGTGTGGATCAGAAAATTAAGGTCTGACATGACCATCTCCAAGCCAACTAAACCCAGAAGATAAAGAAGGTGGATCTGAAGGTAGATGTTGGCAATAAAGCAATATATGTATAACATAGGAAGCAAAGAAAGCTAAAATAAGAGCAAAAGAACAGAACAAGAATAACTCTGGGTGTGAAAAAATGCACTTGTTGGTATAAACACTTGCATAGCATAATTTAAAAATTTTAATCTAGCTCTCTAATGGGTTTAGGTATATCCTCAAGGAAGAAGGGCTACAGATTAATGAGATCTTTTATGCTGGAAATCATGGCATCTTGTCTTTAAAGGATATCTGAAAAGAAGAGGCTGATTCCAGGGTTCACATTCCAAAACAAGTGGGAAATAATTTCAATTACATCAAAAGTAAGTATGTAAAGCAGAAATCACACCATGATTTGTGGTTTGGCCTTACCTCAGTATTGCATAACAGATGGCTGTGTGGGGACAGGCTTAAGATAACAGTTATTTAAAAAAGCTACTTGGCAATGCTCCCAAACACCTTTTCAAGCAAGTAATCAAAAATCAGAAAAAAAGGATTATTTTAAATTGCATATCTATACCCAGGTTAAACGGATCTACCTCAAAGATGAACTAATTTACTCACTTAAGTCTTAAAATATTTATCCTTTGATATCAAGCTTAACATAGGCCAGTGGTGGCATATATTTTAAGATTTTTTTTTTTTTAGTTTCAACTTCAATAAAAGTTTCCAGTAAAATAAAAGATAATTTGGCTAGAAACACTCCAAGGATGTTTCATGACTCTGCTTTACCATTAAAATTCAAAGCCTCCTAAAAGTATAAAGAAGTCAACTTCTGAATTTAAAATGAGCACCAAATAACTTCTACTGGATATTCACAAGTTTCAACATTTCTAGTTTCTTATCCAGATCCCTTCTGATTACAGAGGGAGTCTTGCTCACCTCTCTGGTATGATCACTACATTGCAGATGGACATTCCAGAAAGAGTATTAACCTCTCCCCCTTTCTACTTCCTCTTCCCAGAAAAATCCAGAACTTGTGAAAATAAGGGTATAGCAGGGTTCTGCAGAGGGAAAGGTGCATTATGTCTTATATCAGAAGAACTGATTACTGAAAGAAGTACCAAGGAGGTAAAACAAAAGGCATGGATACTAGAAAAAGCCCAAGTCGAATGGATGACCTGATTTTTACACAGAGACCACAGTGTCATGGAAACAACACAGACATAGAGAGACTGGAATTGTGTTCCTGACTTTTTAAATTACTAACTGCTGGACCGTGGGTGTCAGTTTCTTCATGTAACGATGGAGGTTGGCCTAGGTTAGCTCCAAAGGAGCCATCTAGCCCTAAAATAATGTTGGTTTTGGCACACATCTGCAATCAGGGCCCTGGCTGGGGAAAAGCAAGACCCCAGTCAGCTCCAGAGTCACAGCCAGGGGAACCATATTCCCTTGACTAACTCTGGATTGTTTTTTATTTTGGTGAGTTTTCAAATGGTTTTGTTTCTATTCAATGATTGTTCCTTTTATAGTCTGTCTTGTTTTATGGTTTAGATGGAGGACAGCCCTCAAGGTCAGCCCAGGGAGAACCTTCACCTAAGAGAGAAGAATTGAGGAAGACAGGTGAGGCCTGATGGATCTGTATGGGACAAAACAGCGTATCTCAGTCCAGGAACACTGGCAAAGCAAAGCATGGTGGTGAGGAACAACAAATGAAAAAAGCTAAGAGAGGGAAACAAGCAGGAAAGTTTAGGACAAAGATAACAAGCCAGTTCCGCCTCCTCCCTGCCCCTACCTAATGAAAAAGTGAGAAAAGAAAGGCTTTGTCATCCAAAAACAAATTAGTCATTTCTCTTCCAGCTTTTAACTGAACACACAAAACCACACAAGCACTGCAGAACAAGTCCACAGGGCTAGTTTTTACACTCGACAATAACCATAACACACTTGGAGCGTATCATCGGAGAGTGATAATGTGAGCTCGCTCCTGGAGCCACATCAGGAACGCTGCAATAAGGGCCGGTCATGTTTTCCAAACTCTGATCCCAAAATGTGGAGTAAGTTTTTTGGAAAAGCAGCACTGCTCTTGTATTGTACCCCAGGAGGCCACTAGAGTGCTCCAGAGTCATGAATTCACATTCCAACTGGGGACTCAAACTTGCACTGAAATTATTATAGCCAGATCTGGAATCTCATTGTCTTTGGTAGGTCTCCCATGAGCTGAAACAGCAGTTAGATGCTGAATGGAACACAGGAAAAAGAATCAAATGAATGAGCCTTATCTAAGATCCTGGGAGACTGCTGAAATTATATAGCAACTATTTTAAACTTGAAAAAAGAGATCAAGTTAGTCTGGGCACTGTGGATCATCTGTAAAAATCTAATTATAAACCAGAGATTTTCCTGCCTGTAATAAGATTTATACATTGCAAAGAAACTAATTCTATGGAGATTCCTAGTCTGAGGTTTTAGGGGTCTTTCTCTTATAAGGTATCATTTATGTTTTCAACATGTGAACCAAATGAGGGTTAAAAAGTTTACAGATATGCCTGAAAAATTGAGACAGTAATGGCTAATGTGCTTAAGTGAAGACCTGGTTTCTTCCCTTCCTGTTTTTGTTGGTTGGGTTTCAATTCCTCAACATGTACTTGGGGCTGATAAACCCTTCTTTACTTCACTGGGACTGCTGTCAACGTGAAATTTAAAAAATATATATTTATGTGAAAGCCCTCTGTCAACTGTAAGTGATAATAAGTATTAATTATCATCATCATTATCGCAATTAGAAACCTCTATTTTAAAGCATGAGCATATGACACCTTAACTAGGTAGAAAGATAAACACCATCGCAGAGGTAGGTGGTCTTGGTTTATTTGAAAATTTTACCTTTAATTCTAGGCAGTAGGAAATCTCTCTCTTTTTTGGAAATAGAAAAAAATTTTCAGAAAGTGGTTTATAACCATTTTGCATTTTGAAAGCATATGGAAAATGCTTAAGACAGATCATAATCTTAGCATTTAAACCTTAGATTACTAAGCATCTAAAGATTTCTGATATTTTGGGGGGAAAATGAATTGCAAGATAGCTCTACACAAAGTTCTACTTTACAAAGTGGTGTAAAGAAAGCATAGTGAATTTTAAGTCATTCACTTTAACAGAAGTCAGGAACAACTGAACAGCTATAGAGCTTCGGTTGAACCAACATTTCTATTAGATACAACAGCTACAAACAATTCCCATCTAACCTTTGTGTAGGATGGCTTACCCACGTTAAAATTATTCTATATTATGGTTTCATTTTATGTCCCTATATATTTATACCCTCCAAGGCAAATTTTTAATAAGCGCTGATACAGCCATAGGTGAGGATAAAGTAAAGGGGGCTTAGATAATTTCACAAAGCACATAGTCACTGACCAAACAAGTAAATGTTGAGGATAATATAAAAATAAATAACTGAAAAAGGTTACTTTAAGTTACTAGTAATTTCTGATGCCCAAATTGATTCCTTTTTTCCTAGCCATGTAAAAAGAGTTTGCACTCTGCACTAAATAAAGGACCTACATTTTTCAGTGCATGTTCTCCAAAGTTTTATTTCATATAAATTAATAATAACTATAATTAAATATCACCAATAATAACACTATTCCTACTAAGGTTGGAATTGCCTGTAAGGCTCAAAATTTATTTACTTTTCTGTCCCCAGACAGGCAGAAAATTAGGACTGCAGAAGATGGTGCTTCTAGCATCACAACACTTAGTTCAAGGTATCACAATAATAAAATCATCAAGTGTTAGAGGGGAAACAGAATTTACAATCTAAGTATCACTATATCTGATCATTCACCCAATCCCTAAACACACGAATCACATATGTATTTTATGCATTTTGCAATTTAGCCTTCTTGACCATTTATCCATTTATTTTCTTTGTTCTTCCTTTTCTCATGTTTGGCAACCCTCATACCCTGACCACATTTTTTCCACTTCCTGAAATTTTAACAGTCATATTCATATGAGAACCTCCTGGACCTTTTCCTCTACTCCTAAGTTGTAACCTACGTATCTCTGCAGGGTTTTCAGTGTTTAAAAAGTGAAACAAAGTATATATTAATAGAACAGTATCATTCAAATACAGTTGTCTTAAATGCCTTTTAGATTCCCTTGATGGTTCATCAGTGCCTTACATTTACCAAAACTATGCAGAATATATTTATAAATATATTTTATTTTAAAATATATTTTAAAAAGCTAAGGTATCAATTTGGGGATATTAGGATTTACTGCTACAAAGTGCACAATTCATATATTGTTATGCCAGCACTTAAACAGAAATAATATTTCATAGAGGTTGTGAATGTGAATTAACAAGTCAGAAAACAAAATAGATGTACTGCTGGCATTTTCTGTAGAAGTATAATGATACAAAAGCACACACAGCTGATAGGAACTGTGCCTACTAAAACCAAAACTGTTTGTTTAATATTAACTCAGACTTGAATACTTTTACTAAATATCTTAAAAACATGAGTATTTCTGATAAATGACTTAGGTCAAACATGCATTTTAATTTTTTCCTAATTTTCAATAAAGGAACAAGAGCATATTTGGGAGTCAAGAGATGTGGACTAGGTCATTAAATTCCTATTTCTGGACATAAGTAAATTGAAGGGGCCAAAATTGGATGATCTCTAAAGTCCCTTCTAATTTTCAAATGAAGCAACTCCTAATTAAGCATTACAAAAACATTCAGCCCTTTTAAAATTCAGTTCTTTTAAAAATATCTACAATGAAAAAAAGGAAATCAATAGGAAGAAGACAGAGATGGCTCCCCCTTAACCATCACAGAAATTAGCATTCACCTAAGGGTTCAATATTTAGCAGTAATTAAAGTTACAAATAAATATGGCTGTGTGAAATTTCAAAATAAAATCTGTACCTACGACTAACAACATGACTAGTTAATATTGGATTTTCTTTAGCTATGCCTAAGCCTCAGGGGCGTTCTATTTTAACATATTTGGAGGTATAGGGTGGTGGGCTAGGGAAAACATTCAGGTGACGAATCATTGCTGCAGGCCTGCTCATGCCCGTCCAATGATGGGTGCCCCATGACTCGCTACACAACTCCCCTGAACATAAGCGTCTGCTTGCAACAGGAACTGCACGGCTAAAAAACTCTCATCTCTGGTTAATCCAAGTCAAAGTTTACAAATCCCCTTTTGACAAATTAACACCACATGACACATAGCTTAACTCTTGGCAGGAGCACCCCAAATAGTAGTTTTGTTATGAAAATTAAAAATAACATCATCATGAACATCCAGGTCTAATGCTGTTGGGTAAATTATGCCTTTTTAAGCCTATAAAAATCATGCCATTTTCAGCTTAGACTACCTGAAATTAAACAATGAATATTACTTGCTTTACCTTCTGCAGGGTGAATGGCATCCAAGAAGAGTTGCTTGTTTGACCATTTTTCCCCACTTCCTAAAAAAACATAACAAAAAAGGAAAGGAAAGTGAAAACTCTACTCTTGGACACACATATTATAAAAACAAAACAATATACAAAATAACAAATATGAAACATCACACAAATGAAGCAGAATTTTATTTCAATTATTTAATTCTCAAAATGGCACTTACCAACTAAAATAATTAGGCTATACAGGAAATGGATTAAAATTAAACATTTTTTTGTCTTTTATGAAATATACTATTGGATAATTTCTGCAACTTTAATCAAGGTAATATGAAAATCAGTAAAAGGGAATGACTAAAGCTAATATTTTACCTAGATAATAATGTTTCTTCACTGGAAGCAGAGGAAAAATAATGTCAACATACAAAACAAAATCAAGAAGCTGAGTGGCGGTGAAAATAAAGCCCAAATTATATAAAAGGTTACATACAGGAACAAGCAGGCACATATGTCTACACATAGCAGACAGCTGCATTGAAAGCCTCATTCAAGAAACATGAAATGCTTCACATCTGGCCATGCAAGTAGGATGCAAATGGGCATCAGATGAGTAGGTTTATGGCAGTCATGACACTAACATGCAGGGAAATGCTGAAGACAGCTTGACCTTCAGAATACTTGGCTGTATTGAGCCAGACAGGAAGACTTGTCTTTTATGTGAAAGAAGAGGAGTCCTGAACTATGAGAAGAAAGAGATCTTAAGATGAGCCCTGCAGAGATTCAAGGACTCATCAAGATCACAGCAACGAGGCAGATGTTCAGAGTAAAGGGTTGGTAGAAGTACAATAAGTCTCTATTGACCTCTGGAAATAACAGGTATGTGACTGAAGGAGGTGGGAGCTAACGACGAAGTATAAAGATGGGGGAAAGACATAGGTTACAACTTAGGAGTAGAGGAAAAGGTCCACAAGAATCCTCAAATGTCAGAAAAAGCATACAAATGGTGGGTCTTTCATATGAATATGACTGGTAAGATTTCAGGAACTGGAAAAAATGTGGTCATGGTATGAGGGTTGCCCAATGTGAGAAAAAGAACAGTGAAAGAAAATAAATGGATAAGTGGTCAAGAAGACTAAATTGCAAAATGCATCAAATACAGATGAGAAGAAGAAATTTTAGGATTCATATGCAACTCTGAAAATAGAGACAAATACGGATTTGAATAGGAATCCAAGTGAAGGAGATGTGCAATTAGCTGCAGAGTCTAGAAAGAATGACTATGCCCGTGTCAGGAGCAGATGGCAAGAAGCAAGCACGGGGAGGGGAAGGTGAAGGCGGTGCACGGAAGCATTACTCAAAGATGAGTTCACAATGGAGGTGACCAAGAACCCTTAATGGAGGGTGGAAGGCACCAATACCTTTTTCCGGAACATTAGGCTTCTCCTTTTTGTGCTTATATTTGCTGACAATTTTGTGGAATAAGTTCTTTTTCTGAGACTGGAAAGGACCTACAGACAATATTAATATAAATATAGTTCAAATTCACAGTGTTTTGTAAAACAATATTGTGTGTTTTTCAACAATTACACCCTCCTCCCTCCTGTGCAACAAGCAAATTGAGTCGCAAGAAATGTCATCTTGCATCTTCACTCATTTAATTGATGCTCAGCCCCCTTCTTTACGCTTATTTCAAATCCAGTTAGATTTTCTTTAGAAATGTATTGGGCAGAAGCCTCCATTAGGGCTGGGACTCCTACGCAGAAACTGCAGATTTAGTGAGTAGAAACAGACTACAACCAATAATAGCAGAGTGGCTATGGTCTGTAACGAGAAAAGATTTTACTTTAGACTCCTAAATGCCATGAAGGAAAGGATAGCATGTATGTTTTCCATCTCTCCTAAGAAACTGATTTTTCACAACAAGGACAGCACTTTCAGGCCAAAAGGTGAACTGTCATGACAGCATTAGACAGCTTTCTGGCCTTTTCTGAGAATATTCTAGGAAGAAAAAAATGATTTTAAAATAGAAAATATTTACCAAAAAACTTTTTTTCTGGGTGGGAGGGGGGAAAGTTTCAGATTCTATCTTAGTTTTCTAAGAAGAAAACAGAATTGAGATTTTTCAGTGAACAATCAGAAATACCAACAACAACACTGACCTCCTCAAAGCAGGTTGCTTTCTACACCTTGTAGATATTTCTATGTGAAACTGACTTAATAATTTTATATAACTTCTGTTTCTTCATCTGTGAGACCATACTAAATCACGGGTTGGCATAAGGATTAAAAAAGCCAGAAGCTTCATATGCTGTCCCTGCGGCATCTGCCCACCTACCGGTGTCTGTCCCTATACGCTCTGCCTTCTGGCCAGCGGCGAATCACTTTATGCTTCCCATCTCGTCAGTGCCTCCACCTGTGCATCAGCCCCCCTCCCCAGCCGGCTGAACATCATCATTTCTCCCTCTCTTAGTGGGCCACTCCATCAATATACAAACATACATTATGTCTCCCAACTTTAAAAAAAAGGTGATGGCTTCTGCCCAAACTTCCCTCACATCAGTTATTGCCCTAGTTTGCAGCAAAATTCTTTATAGAAGGGTTGCCTATATTCACTGTTTCTAATTTATCCCCTTCCATTCTGTCTTATATCCACTCCCCAGGGTTCTGCCCTTGCCACTCAGGGTGATCAATGACCCTCATGCTGTGAAGACCAATTATGGATCCTTATCCTACCAGGCTGTATGTGTAGCTTCTGACATTGCTGACCACTCCGCCCACACCCTCTGTCTTGAATACTTCCGGCTTCCGGGATACACCTTTTCTTGTTTTCTCTCCTCCTTCACTGACCTTTCCCTCTCTGTCTCCTTTGCCTTCTCCTCTTTTCCCTGACTTCTTAATTTTGGAATGATCTGGGCTTGGTCCTTGTCCTCTTTACTATTTATTCTTACTCCTCTGGTGATTACCTCTAGTCTCAGGGCTTTAAATACCAGCTCCAGGCTGATGACTCACAAATGTATCATTGCCGCTAGATCTCTTCTATTCTGCATATTTGAAAAGCCAGCAATCTTATGTTATCCAGCAAGGACTGTGAGAGCCAGAGCCTCATCACCTCTGTAATCTCACATCTTGCCACTCCCCAACAACTTCACTTCTCTCCAGTTGCACTGGCCTCCTGCCTGTTCCCTGCACAAGCAGTCTCAGTCCTCCTGATTGCAGGAGGACCTCTGCACCTCTAGGACCTCTACCTAGAAAATGATCTTCCCCAGATATCCAAGTGGCTAACTTCCTTACCTCCTTCAAGGTTTTGCTCAAATATCTCAAGGTTACCCTATGTAAAACTGCAACCCAACCCGAAGCCTATCACTGGTGAGCTCCCTTTCCATCACAAACCTATTATTTTATCTGATTGTTAAAAACAGCTTTACTGAAATATAATTCACATACCATACAACTCACCTATTTAAAGCATACAATTCAATGGTTCTTATAATCACAGATATTTGCAACTATAACCAATGTTAGAACAATTAATCACCTCAAAAATAAATTCCATACCTTTTAGTTATCACCTCTCCTCTACCTGTATTCCCTCTATCCCTAAGCAATCACTAGTCTACTATCTGTCTCTATAGATTTGCCTATTTTGGAAATTTAATATAAATGGAATCACATACCATGTGGTTTTTGACTGGCTTCTTGACTTAGCATAATTTTTTCAAGGTTCTTTCCTGCTGTAGCATGTACCAGGCTGAATAATATTCCATTGTATGGATAAAACACACTTTTTGTTTATCCATTCAAAAGGTGATGGACATTTGGATTGTTTCCACCTTTCAGCTACTAGGAATAACATTGTTAAAAACATTCACACACAAGCTTTCGTGTGGACCTCTGTGCTCATTTCTTCTTGGGCATATATTATACCTAGAGGTGGACTTGCTGGGCTTTATGTTAACTCTATGCATTACCTTTTGGGGAATTGGAAGACTATTTAATGAAGCAGCTGGACCATTTTACATTCTTACTAGCAGCATATAAGGGTTTCAATTTCTCCACATTTTTGGCAACATTTGTTATTCTGTCTTTTTGACTATGGTCATCCTAAGGATGTGAAGTGGTATCTTTCCTATTGTGGTTTTCATTGTACTTCCCTGGAGACTGATGATGTCAACCAAATTTGCATGTACTTACTGGCCATGTACTTACAGCATACCTTCTTTGTAGAAATGTCTATTCAGATCATTTGCCCATTTTTAAATTGTCTTTTTTACCAAATTGGATTTTTTATATATTCTAGATAAAAGTACCTTATCAGATATATAATTTGCAAATATCTTCTCCCATTTTGTGGAACGTCTTTTCACTTTCTTTGCAGTATTCTCTGAAGCACAATGTTTTAAATTTTGATACAGTTCAATTTATCTATTTTGTCTTTTGTTGCTTGGGCTTTTGGTGTCATATCTAAGGATTCACTGATAAATTTGGCCACAAAGATTTGTCCCTATGTTTTCTTGGAAAAGTTTTATAGTTTTAACTCTTATATTTGAGCCTTTGATCCACTTTTAGTTAAATTTTGTGTATTCTATAAGTGAACTTCACTCTTTTGCATGTAGATATCCATTTGTTCCAGCATCATTTGTTGAAAAGACTATACTTTTCCCATTGAATAGTTTGGCACCCTTGTTGAAAATCAGTTGACCAAAAATGTGCGGGTTTATTTCTAGACCCTCAAATTCTATTCTATTGATCCATATGTCTGTCTTTATGTCAATACAACACTGTCTTAATTACTGTTGTTTTGTAGTTAATTTTGAAATTATCCATTTTTTTATTTTTTTCTTCTTCTTTAAGATTATTTTGATTATTCTGATTCTATTGCAATTCCATGTTAATTTTAGGTTTATTCATCAATTTCTCCAAAGAAGTCAGCTGGGATTCTGAGAGCAACTGGGTTCAATCTGTTGATCAATTTGGGGGAATGAGTCTATCTTAACAACATGGAATCTTCCAATCCATGAACATGGGACATTTTTCTATTTATTTCTATCATTTTTTTTTAAATTTTGTTTTAAACTTTGCTTTATAGTGTTCGTTGTGTTGTACATCTTTTGTTAAATTTAGTCCTAAGTACTTGATTGTTTATAATGCTATTGTGAAAGAAATTGTTTTCCTAATTTCATTTTTGGATTATTCATTGCAAGTGTATGGAAATACAATTTTTGTTTAATAATCTTATATCCTGCAACCCTACTGAACTTACTTATTAGCTATAACAGACTATAATAGTTTTTTTGTGAATTTCTTAGAATTTTCTACATTCTAAATCATGCCATGTGAGAACAGAGATAGTTATACTTCTTCCTTTCCAATGTAGATATCTTGTTTCTTTTTCTTGCCTAACTTGCCTGGCTAGAAACTTCAGTATGTTCAGTAGAAGTGGTTGTCTTACCCCTAGGCTTAGAGTAAAATCATCCAGTATTTTACTATGAAGTATGATGTTAGCTATATTTTTTATCATTGTCTTTTATCAGGTTGGGGAAGTTCCCTTCTATTTCTACTTTGTTGAGTGATTCTATCATGAAAGCATGTTGAATTTTGTCAAATGCTTTTTCTATATCTACTGAGATGATCAAGTGGTTTTTGTTTTTTTATTCTAATAATATGGTATATTACATTAATCGATTTTTGGATCCTCCTTGCCTCTCTTCCTTTCTTTCTTCCTTCCTCTTTCTCTGTCCCACCTCCAGATTTTTGGATGTTAAGCCAACCTTGCAGTCCAGGGTTAAAATCCCACTTAGTCATGGTGTACAATTCTTCTTATATGTTCCTGGATTTAGTTTGCTAGTATTTTGTTGAGGATTTTTGTGTCTATACTTACAAGAGATGTTGATCTGTAGTTTTCATTTCTTATTATGTCTGTGTATCCTGTGATTGTCCTGTAATGTATCAACATTAAGATAATACAGGCCTCACAGAATGAGTTGGGAAGTGTTCATTCTTCTTCTAATTTTTGGATTCATTTGTGAAGAAGTGGAATTAATTCTTTAAATATTTAGTAGAATCTAGCGGTTAAGCTATCTGTGCCTGGGCTTTTCTTGTCTGGGTACTTTTTTTGATTACTAATTCAATCTCTTTACTATAGTTATAGGTGTATCCAGATTGTCTATTTTTTCTTAAGTTAGTGTTTGTAGTTTGTGTCTTTCTAGGAATTGTTGGCTTCATATAGGTAATCTAATTTATTGGCATATAATTGTTCATGGTATTCTTTTATAATCCTTTTCAGTTCTGTATAGTTGATAATAATGTCCTCTATTTCATTTCTGATTCAAATGATATGAATCACCTCTCTTCTCCTAGTCAATCTAGCTAAATGTTTCACAGTTTTGTTGTTCTTTCCAAAAACTACTTTTTGGTTTCAATGATTTTCTCTATTGTTTTTCTGTTTTTTATTAAATTAATTTAATTTCACTAATTTCCTTTCTAATCATTATTATTTTCTTCCTTCTGC